AATGAAGGATTAGGCTAAGTGCAGTGAGATTGTATCATATATATAGGGCTTGGCTTCCTGATCAATGGTCCACTACCAAAAGGAAGCCAAGCCCTGTCACCCTTTACAACAAAACAAAATGTTGAAATGTACTCACTCACTTTTTATTATTATTTGTAAATATGTGTACAAATGGTTGGTTTTTTGTACTGTTTTTATCAATAAATCTCAGCAACAAAGGACATACACCCATGTGTGTTGATTTCTCCCTAAGATGGCAAACTGAAACACTCCAAGTTGGTGACTTTTGGAGATTTATTTCCCTGGATGATTGAGAATGCATCAAGATGAAACACAAAAGGAAGTGCACAGCTTTTAGCAGCTCCCCCACGCCCTCAATCACACACCCCCACTCCCCTCCCTCCAGAATTCCCAGGTAACAACCTAATATACATATGAATGACTAGCCAATTTAGCTTCCACTTGGCTGAAGCTAAAGCTTAGCTAAAAGCCTACCAGCCATTTGGCTGCTCTCCGGGTTTTATAGGTAGAAAAGCCAAATGGCTGCTCTCTGGGAGTTTAATTAAGGAATTGGGCCTAGTGGATGTGTGGTGCCAGTTCCACCCCCAAGACATTTTTTTTACTTTTTATTCACATGTACATCGCAGCCATTCAAGGATAGACATGTTTTTAATGCCTAGGACGGACCTTTATAGGACTAGACAGTGTAGCATAGAAGCAATCACTATCTCTGATCACGCCCCGGTTTGTCTGACATTAAGAATGAATCCAAACAATCATTTTAAATCTTGGAGAGCCAATGTATCTATCTTGAATAATGAAACAACCCGACAAGAACTTCAAAGGAGTCTGACTGAATATATTCAATTCAATGATAATATTGAGGTGTCTCCTTCAATCTTGTGGGAGAGTGCCAAAAGTTATTTGAGAGGTAATATTATAGCAGTTTCATCAAGACTGAAAAAGGAGAGACTAGCAGAACAAACAGAACTAGAAAGCAAAACTAAGAAATTAGAAAAAGTCTATCAGGTAACTAAAGACACTGGGACTTTGAACTCATTGAAAGAGCAGAGGCAAAAGTTGGATGATTTACTAACATATAAGGCGGAGGGACAACTACGCTTTGTTAATCAAAAGTACTACCAATACGGCAATCGGGCAAGCCGACTGCTGGCATTTCAGCTGCGTAAGGAGCAATCAAGTAGGGTTGTTCATAAAATTAAATGTCCAAACTCCGAAAAAATTGTATGCCAACCTACGGAAGTTGCGAAAGCATTTTCTTTGTATTATCAGGAATTGTATAAAGAAGAAAATGTCCCAAATAAGATTGAAAAGATTGAACAATTTCTTAACCCGATTAATCTTAGTAAACTGTCTCAGGAAGAGGCTGAACTAATAACAAATCCAATCACCATTGAAGAAATAAAAAAAAACGTATTGGAAAACTGAAAAACAACAAGTCCCCCGGAGTGGATGGCCTGCCTGGGGAGTATTACAATTTTTTGAAAAAGAGCTAACACCATTGTTATGCAAAGTTCATAATTATGCATTATTTAAAGGTGATCCCCCCCAGTCATGGTCTGAAGCTATTATTAGTGTCATCCATAAAGAAAGCAAGGACCCGACTTTATGCATGTCTTATCGCTCTATCAGCCTGCTTTGTGTTGATTTAAAAATTCTTACAACCATTATTGCAAATAGAATACCTGTGCTTAGGTATTGGTATGTATGTATGTATGTATATATGTATATATGTTTTTTCTTTTAAATTAAGTTTTTGAATAACCCTCACCATTATATGCTGCAGATTTGGTCTCAGGTCATGTTGTTGATGTGAACTGCCTTGTTATTTTTGGCAATAAAAGTTGAAAAAAAAATGTTATAACTTGACCATCTGTATTGTATTTTTCCTTTCTGTGTAACATCATCACTCTGATGCATATCTGTCTGCCTTGGAGAGGGAAACCTCCTCTCTTATTCTTCCTGTGGTTTCGTCCATTTGCTTCTTCCATTTGGGGGCTTTATTTATCTAAAGTAACAATCTAGAGTAAAGTGGAGTTCCCAAAATGATTTCCTTAGAGAACTAATTTGACAAAATGAAAGTCACTGAGGCATACTCCTGCTTCGTATTACTAGTTACACATCTTATCAAAGCAGTCAAACCTAGCTCCAAACCAAACAGCTGCACAAGCTCATTTTCTGTACTAACAGTTATCACATATCAGTAACCAAAACAAATTTAAGTTCCCATTAGTAACTTCTTCGTGTTTTCATTTCAGCGTCAAGCCCAAAAAAGGTGTCTCAATATCTACTGTATCTGTATTTACTATCTGCTTTCTTTAAGCTTTTACTTTAAGCTTTCTTTGTTTTTTACCCTTAATTATTATCCTTTATATTTCTTATTAATGTATGGGATTTGTGCATTTGTGTCCTCCCTACACAAGAGAGTGTGCTGGTGTGCTAGGTTTACTTAAAAGTCATCCTCTTAAAACTTAACAGCTGCTCCACAATAGCTGATCATGACAAAGCTAAAATATTTACCTAATGGCAGATTATTCTTTTTTTAAATATCTTTAAGATGTCTTTAAAGTTTTTTTCTAATCATATACATTTAATATTAGCTAGTATTAAACTCTGTCGAAGTCCTGTTGTTCAGCACCCAACATAAACTGTCACCAGGGCTCTATTTTGCAGCTATCCTGGTGCATTATTTAAGATAAACACAGACTCTGTGAAAGTGGACATTGTTTGTGTTTTTGAACTTTCAAGTTCTGTTTATTATTAAATGTTAAAGTTTAAATTTTCACCTTTCTGTATCCCATCTGTGTTTTCAATACATACTGCAAAAGCTACCCAAGAGTTTCTGAAGGCGAAGAAAAAGGACATTCTACAACGGCAAAGGCAGTCACCTACCTCTGCAGAGTAGAGCATGCTTTTCAGCTACTAAATGCAAAACAGAAGGAGAGACCCACAAAAAAGCAGCAACTGAACGTGGCTGCAGTAAACGCCCAGCAGAGCTGGTGATGTCCTTGATTTCTAAACTTCAGCTGATCATTGATCGCAGGTACTAAAAGTAGTCATTATATTTCACATTATGTTAATTTGTCCAATTAATTTAAGCCTCTAAATAGACTATTATAAATTTGGCTGGAACTCACGTATAGCCAATGCTGTGCGTTTATGAAGTTTGCACATCACTCACATACCGAGTGTCTGATTTGGACTGCACTGTGTTGGTGTACAGAGGTGAGATTACAAAAATTATGCCAGTGTTCAGAAAAGTATACGGACCTACCTTTACGTCTATCTGCCTCATAGCTGATAGATTTCTATTCTTTTTGAATTGAAATGAAATTCATTATTTATTGAGGATCCGTAGCTTGTACAAGATTTGCAAAGACATCTGACTTCCTGTTTGCTTACTCAAAAGTCCAGTGATATGGATGACATTTTATTGATTTTGAGAGTTTTAAGTAATAATTTTGATGCCCTGTTCTTCTATCTGTGTAAAATATAATTCATAAACAATTCTCTAATGATTGCACGCTATTACCTAATATTCCGCACCAGGCTTTTTGCTTGAGCAGCCAATAACTGCTGTGGTCGGCTGAGCAGTCCAGCAAGAAATATTGACACCCACACATATAATGTGACACAGGTGCGTGGTATAAGTCTGGAATAAGACACAAAGATGAACATAAATTTGGTGTGAATACATTTAACACATGCAGGTAGCAGAGCAGATTCAGATGTTACATCTGGCTTGGATGTCACAGTGGCTGTTGCAGTTGTGCTGGTGACATCTAGTGGAATAAAGTAGGATATATATTCAAGGTTGAATAACTCCAAATGAATCATATTGATTAAGTAAAAAGATCAGAGTGTTTTGTGCTTAATTATAAAAAGAGAAACCTATCTAATGTGCCACCTTTGAGCAGTGTAGTAGTAAATGTGACAGCAGTTTTAAGTACTTGTCATGTTTAGTAGAAGAGCATAAAGGAAGACTTTTTTGTGCTTTCCTGTTCTGGATAATACTATGTAATAATAACTAAGCTTGTTTATCCCTTTAATTCTTATTCTCGGTTGACTATTGCAATGTTTTTTTATTTGCATCCTTAAAAAGACCTTCAGACAATTACAGTTACTTCAAAATGCTGCTGCTGGAATTTCAAAAATTGTTTGATTGTCACCTATCTGCAGTTGCTTCTATTAAGCTATAGATTTGTATTCACTCAAGTCTTTAAATGGCTTGAGCATTTAATATATAGATGTTTGATACAAACCTGGTTTTTAATGCTGTGTCCTATTTACCTTGGAAGCCTGATTTTAGAGTTGGGAGTCACTTCACTACCCAGTTGAGCGTGTTGAAGGAGTAAAGTCGGAAAAGGAAGAAAAAATAGGGATTGTTTTGCTCTTTAGCCATTCGTGCATGTCTAGCATTACACTGTGGTGCTTGTTTTTTGGGGGGATAAAGCTCAGTCCTTCCTCTCCATGTATTGTATTTAGAAACTCGCAATTGCACTTGTCAGTACAGATTGCTTATGCTTTACAGTGGCATTTACATTTGCATTCACTGCCACCATCCTATATTCTGTGGTTGGTTGGACAGCTTCAATTTTACAAGTTGGAAATCCCAGTTGAGAACTTTGACTAGGAGAGCTGGTCACCTCGTGGTGTAGAGATTTGAAACTTAACAAATTTAGCCACTATGCTGCCCATTGCTGGACTAACTACCCTACCTTACGATTATTAAACTATTAAAACAGTTACTTATCGTGTTGTATTGACCACTCAATTCTTTGTTTGAACTTAATAATTTAAAGAATGAGCTTCAAACATCAAATTGTGGTGTGTGTTCCATAAACATTCAGTAATAGTTTTTTTTCTTGGTAAATTTACCAAAATTCATGCTTACTTTAAATCAGAAATTCTCTCATACTCTTGTACATACTCATAACTTCCCCTTAAAACCAAACACATTGGCATTAAGGAAGCAACCATCACCTTTCCACAGTTTATTTCTTTTAAAATAATTCATACAAATGCATACAGTCACAAACGTATCTTTGTCAGGTTGTCAGTTTTGACCAAAAATAATGATATTTACTGTAGAATATAGATTATGTATACTGTATATTGCTACGCCTACTACTTTACCATAAAGGGGACCAAGGTAGGCAACAGTGGACTGTGTGTTACTACCAGGGATGGAAATTCAAGGAGCACCTCGACACTTAAAAAGCTAATCTGATGTGGCGCCCATCATTTTAATAAAGGAATGCTCGCAGTTTGTTTTAGAAAGAAACAAGCAGAAGACTTTCGTCCACAGAAAAAGAATGGCATCTTGTTTAAGATTCAAGTTCAAAACAGTTCAGCATGATGTTGAGGATTTTGGGGCTCTAGCCTGGCAGTACCTTCAGTATGAGGCGCCCCTTTCAGATATCGCTGGCAAAATTTCCATCCCTGATTGCTACGCTTACTACCTAACCATGAAGAAGACCAGGTAGGCAACAGTAAACTGTTTTTTTACTACTCAGCTGCTGGTAGGAGGGGATCAGAAAGCACCTTCACTCAGATGGCTGGTTAACATCAGCACGCGAGAAAAGGGTTTGGCAGAGTTTTACGCTTGCATGACACTGTACTCTTCTTGTTATGTGGGAATGTAACCTGTAAGAGATTTAATTTCTGAGAGATTGCTAGGCTAAGTTTGGAATCAGTTTCAATTTCAGGTGTTTATAGTTCGTATTAAGTATTTTGTTAATGGCAGTCTTTGTATTGATGTTTGTGGAGAGCACAAGCCACCACCCCTCCTCCCAGTGCTGCTTTTTTAGACACAGATACAACCAACTCACATTGACACAGGCAGGCAGAACACCATATGTACACATAGACACGGAGGCCACAGAGAGTGGCTAAACGGTATACTCAAGGAAGGACCCATCTTGAAATGTTAAAGGGATAGTAGTCTGGATAAATGAGATTTTTATTTTTATTTACTGACTTTGCTTTGAATTTTAAAATGTCCTAAACAGTAGGAAGATTTCACATGACTGTTTCTCATCTGTCAGTAAACGTTAACTTTGCTTAACTAGATGTGACATCTGGGAGTGAGTTTAAAACTTTAAATGGAAAGTTGAGTGTTTTGCAACTCTTCGGGCTGATTGGAGAGATCTATATCTGCAAGGGCAACTTCAGTAATATACTGACTTTGCAGCATGATGAACCATGACTCAGTGATTCATCAAACTGTTCATGCTCCATGACCTGCACATTTACTGTGTGTGATAGGGGTACTGTTGTATCATTAGACAGGACAAGATAAACATCCTTGTTTCTCAAAGTGCGGTCTGCTACAAGCTCTCAGTGCATCATTTTGTCGACATATATATTAATAGAGACAAGGAGATAAGTTCCCAGCCTTGGCATACCATTTTACCGCTTTCTTGCAGCCTTTCCTCCCACAACCCTCTTGATTTCGGTCAAGCATTTAGACAAGTCCCAAGAGCAAAGTCACATGCCCCTTAAACATAACTAACAAAAGCAAACATCAGTTCAACTTTAGCTCTTGTTAAAGTTCTTTTTCTAATGTAGCGGGACACGAAAAGGCAAGCAGGTAGAAAAACAAAAGCACTAAGTGGCATGAAAAAAGAATTTATAAAACAAAACTAAAAAAAAGAACAAAAAGAAACAAAAAATAACTAATATACCAACTGCGGAAACTTACTCTCCTGAGATGGTGTGCAAAAAGCTGCCTCTTTTTGGGGGGGCTTGCTAATTTGGGGACATTAAAATAAAAAAAACGGATATTGTATTCTCCAACTGGTTCAGCTACATAGAGAGATCACCTTTGCTTTTGTTAAGACTCGAATACAAATATCAGTATCTTCTTGCTTTAAGTCTAAAACTGTACACAGACAGGTTACATTCATTTTATAACCTACTAACTTTTCTTGTACATCAAACTAAGGAAAAGACACAGAAAAGAGAGAAAGACATAAACCCCGCCCCTCTAACTTTGGACACACTACAGTCTAAGACAGAGGAATTTGATCCTAGTTTTTTTCCCAAATCAACAGATAGTTATTGTTATGTTGTTGTTTTTTTTATTTACTTCTGGCACAGAATCTGAAGATCATCCAGCGATCGGAAGACCAACTTCTGGTCGGGGCAGCAGACAGCTGCCTTGCTCTTTAATTCATCACCACCTTCCTTGTCTTCCTCTTTGGAGTGTGAACCGGCTGTTGGAAACCAGTTGCCAGAGAGTTCTTGAATTGATTGTAATTGGGACGTCAACCGGTCAATCTGACACCAAACCTGATAACAATTGTCACTAGAGAACTTATCGCAATGACACCGGTTGCTGTGCCAACCACCACCAGTCACTAGACAACACGGGAACGTGTGTGTTTTGTGTTTGTGGAGGGGCTACAGCTGGTCATTTGGATGCTGCTCTCTGTCGCCCTCTGGTGGCTTCACTGTGTTCTGTCCGGGAGACGGGGCGTGAGGAGGGTGTGTGACGGCGGGCGGAAGGGTGTGCGCGATTGGCACGGCGCTCTGTACAATGCCTTCAACAGGGGGAGGGAGGCCGCCAGATGGCAAGTTCACTACTCCTGGGGGATACCTGGTGGTAACAGACATGGGGAGAGAATAAAATCTGAGAGAATAAGAACTGAGTCATCTTAAATGCAGTTAAACTAATATGATTAAAGGCATTTTGTAAATTCACTTATGCAACCTTAATAACTCACAGGGTAGTGTCTTAGAAAGGATTCACACCTTACTTGACAGTAATAACCCACACCTTGGGTCATATGACCTTCGATGACTCACATGATTACAGGGTGGGTCAGTAAATCTAAGGTCCAGCTCCAAGAGGACACCCCCACCAAGGGCGTTGTTCATTTCAAGCACTCAACAAAAACAAAGCTAAACACTAAACATCTTAGAATGGATAAAAACAGGAATCGCAGAAATGATAAAAGAGTGACATAACTAGGGCTGTTCGATATAACGATATATATCGGATGACGATATAAAAACGTCTATCGTTTCATTTTACGCTATCGTTTGTTTCGTGGTGTCGCAAAATAAACTGTTTACGGCAACTTATGTCTAAAAATGTATCGTTTCATGTATCGGTTAAAACACTCGACTCCAGCTACACGACGCGCAGCTGGAAAAACCTCCTGCAAGTCGAGCTGCCCGAGATTCACAGAATTTACAGAAAACGTTGCATTTTTGTGATTTATATCGTTATCGGACGATAGAATTCTTATATCGGGACATGAGATTTTGGTCATATCGCACAGCCCTAGACATAACCATGTCCACATGTTAAACATTAAAGACCGCTTAAAAACCCCATGGACACTTGACACTACTTCCGATTACGACAGCATGTTTGATTATTATGTGTCGCTGTGGAATATTTAGATTTGCTGTACGTACAGAAATTTGGCCTCCATTTTTTGTGGTTTGCAGAAATCTAATTTGAATATAAACTAATAATTATAAGTGGGATATTCATTACCTTCTTCACATCACCAAACAGTGCTTTGCATAGTAGATGTAGTGCAGTGTTTGGTAAGCTGAACTGTGTTGCTATTTCAGGATGTGATACACCCTGCAAGCACTTTTCAATACCCCAGCAGCCAGTGTTTTGTTGTGCTGACATTGCCTGGCTGAATTCCTCATGGCAGGCAGCGACGCTGTCTACCCATCAGTATAATTATAGACTGCCGTGCGACCTCTCTTATCGTGTGTAGTCAGAGCTGTCATCACATCTGCGAGTACTAACAGACTGGAAGTCAACAGGGCAGCAACATGCTCCTTTAAAGCTCGAGTACATGTGAAAGACCAAAACAAACATCAACTGATGATTGTAGCTCTTTTACCCTGAAAGCTTAAGGGTTAAGGTTTCCATATAGTTGGAAAATATGTAGAAATAATGCCAAAAGAAGGAACAACTAAAAACCCAGTCAAGTAATTGCTGGTTGATACCTGTATGCCCCATTGAGCTCAGGGTGGACGGTAGCTGGGTCAACACCTGCCCAGTGGTTGTTCTGGGTGAGGAACTCTTTATTGACGCAGTTCTTTAGACTGTCTGGGATGCGACCTTAAAGAAAAGAAAAATAGGATAGAAGAAAAGGAAAGAAGGCCCTTAAAATTCCTCGACAGGAAGCAAGAATTCCTTAAAATACCACTTTTTGGGCTTTTTTCATCAGAAATCATGCTGTCTGCTAAAGTTTGTGTTTCTGTGACCGTGTGTGTGCACTACCTGTCACAGCCCTTCGGATCTCCCTGGCTGCTTCCTCTCGCATTTCCAGTGATGCCTGTTCGCTGTACCAGGCAGCGTGTGGTGTGCAAATCAGATTGGGGGCATCTTTGAGCGGACCCTGACTGAAACTGACAAATACACAAGCAGTACAATCACTCTGAGCTGCAGCAAAAATGATTTTGTGCACCACAAAAGGCTTTTGTTTTGTGTTTATTGATGACCTATGCTGTGGCACAAATGTCATTGAATACCATGATATTATAAAATTAGTAAACATTCCTGTAAACTGCCCCTAATTCTTCATGGAAGTGAAGTAAGATGCTGCAAATATTCAACAATGATTTTGGTCCATAAGATATGAAACCATCGTGCAGATTTATCAGCTGCCAGTCCATGATGCAGATCTCCCGTTCTATCACATCTCTAAGGAGTAATATTGGATGAACATCTGCTGACTATGGAGGTTATTTGAGGACTTGAACTGATCGCTATGTTAAAAAAAAAACAGTTTGACATTATTTGAGTTTTGTGACATGGTGTGTTGTGCTGCTGGAAGCAGTCATCAGAAGATGGGTACACTGTGGTCACGATAGGATAGAGAGGGTAGGCAACAATGCTCAGCTAGGTAATGGCTTTCAAATGATGCTCACTTGACAGCAAGGGCCTAAAGTGTGCCAAGAAAATATTCCCCACTCCAATACAGGGTAGGGCGGATCCATGCTTTCAGAGCCTGACCCTACCATCTAAAGACTGCAGCAGAAATTGAGACTCATCAGACCTTCTATTATCTTCTATTATCCAATTTTGGTGAACCGTTGTGAGTTTTAGCCTCAGTGTCCTGTTCTTCTTCTGCTACTGTAGGCCATCTGATTCAAGTTTCAATGGGTTGTGCATTCAGAGGCGTTCTTCTGCGTACATTGGTTGCGCTGAGTTGTTAGTTGAGATTACTGTTATCATCCTATCAGCTCAAAGCAGTCTGGCCATTGACCTCTGACCTCTGGTATCAACCAGGCATTTTCTCGCAGAAAGCTACCACTTAATAGATTTTTTTTCTCTTTTTCTATTTTCTGTCAGCCTTACAGATGGTTGTGTGAAATCCCAGCGGATCAGCGGTTTCTGAAATACGGGCACCAAAACCATGCCATGTTCAAAATCAGTTAAATCATCATTCTAATTTTTGCCTCATAACTTTTGCACTGTCCACTTCCTGCTGTGACAAAACAAATTTCCCACGTGTGGGACTAATAAAGGTTATCTTATCTTTAACATTCTGATGGTTGCCTTGACTGAGTTGCTGCCATACGATTAGCCGATTAGATATTTGCATTAACCAGCAGTTGACTACATACCTAATAAAGTGGCCAGTAGCACTGATGGAATAATTCGTGAATTCATTAACGATGAAGTCAAATATAGCTAGCAGTTAAAACAGGAGGTTACCTGAAAGGCTCTGACTCATGAACATCCAGGGCAGCTCCACGTATCCTTCCCTCCTTCAAGGCCTGAGCCAGAGCCTTCTCATCCACCAGACCCCCCCTTGCTGTGTTCACCAGAAACGCCCCCTGACGCATCTTTAACACACACACACACACACACACACACACACACACACACACACACACACACACACACACACACACAGTCAGTGATATATGTTCAGTTGAGCTTAACACCACATTTACATTTTAAGATCGGTGCCCCTGTACATAAAGACTGTGATATTAAATATGAAACAAATCCCTTTCAGTAAAGCTAATAAAAAAGAAATCACATTTTCTGCTCACAGTGCAGAATTTCCAGTAATATTTTATGGGCCTACACTGAGCAATTGTCTTTTCACTTATCCTCTCCCAGTTAGGGTAGAAGTGTTTAAAGCTAAAATCCTTTAAGGAGAAAAGCCAATATCTGATAGTCCTTCAGACGTGGTACAGAACCTCATTAATCTGTAAAATGGTGGGCTTCCCTGGGTGTAGGCTCTTTAATATTTATGGCTATGGGACTCAGTAGTTGATGTGAGGCCAAAGAAATCATTTATGCTTCAGTGTACCTGCTCAGTGTCGCGTGTGTTGGGCGATGAGTGCGAATGCCGATCTTTACCTGTTTGATGGTGAAGTCATTGATCAGGTGGTGGTTGTGTTCGTTGAGGCTGCAGTGCAGAGACACACAATCAGAGTGGAAGAGCAGATCCTGAGGAAGAGAAAAAAGGAGCCACTTAATCCCAATCCCAACAGAAATGTTGAACCAGGTCCAGACGACAGTTACTGTTACTTTTCCACACACAGTGGTCACAGCACCATTGCAATAAATGCCTATTTGTCACGGCGGATTGTGGAGAAAGCATTCTCGTCAGCAAAGAGAATTGGAGACAAAGGATTTGTTTCCCTGTAAAAAGAGGATTTAGTCTGAATCCATTTAAATGCTGTGCTAGTGATGAGCTCTTATTGGTTAAATACGAGCTGAGTGGAAATTGTTTTTGGCACACACGCAGGTGAGCGTTGTTGTGTGACAGGTGCTTTGCTGATATTTGTGCAAAGCATTTTGCTCTGCTTCTCCTCATGTTCTGTCATGTGCATACTGTGACAGCTATAGCTTCACATTGATCTAAACACTGGCTTTCTACCAATTTTTGGCACTGTTGGGTCTCTATGTTGTCAACAATAGCCTTTATACGGTCAGAGCTGGGCTCAGGGGTCGTGCTCACATGTTAGTTAGGGGCAGGCAGTCAGAATAAAGTTAAAGGAAAAACTGCCTATATCACACAAAGCATGAACTGAGGAGATACACCAAAGCCCAGTATAAGTATAGGTAAGTATAAGTAAATATATGTATATATTAGTATTAGTGTATATGTATAAATAAGGATTCTTTCTTGTGAAAATCAGTGAAAACATGCAAATATGCAGATGGAAATGAGCATAGCACGTCCCCCTTAAAATCTGATTCTCAGTAGTAACTCACAAGCCATTGCAATTTTTCATTAAACGTAGCCCTTAAATCCACTCAAAATCAAATTAGCTGTGGAATTTAATTAGCTTTCACTTCTTTTATGGTCTCAGTGTCACATAGTGTATACGACCGATGCCTGTAGATGTCAAGGATGCAGAGGTATGAAAAGGCTGCCTATGAGTTTAACTTTCTGTTGATCAAGATTCACACAGGACTAATGGACTTTTATTGTAACTTTGGCTCCAAAATTTGTAAAAAATAATCATTCAATATCAATCAGATAATAATCAATCAGAATAATCATTCTAATCTTTCATTAACCATTTCGATTTTCTCTCAAATGGTTGAGGAGTAAGGTGACGTGCACGTGGTAAAATCTAGGCGGAGCTTATTTTTTCTATCTGCGTTCAGACAGGAGTACCCTGTTTGTGCTTCCACAGCATAAACAGTGATGGAGTTACCGTTTGAAAATAATGACTCCATGGTAAATAAACTGTTAAAAGATGTTTTGGGGTTTTTTTCTATTATACAGAAGAGCTGACAAAAGTGAAAAGAGGCTGATGTTTAAAATATAAAATTGTTTAACAAGTGTGTGTTTTACCTGTAGTGTGGTGACCCTTTGTAATCCCAGGGATCTTTCTACACCGTCAGCCAAATAAGGGTCATAGAAAATCACACTGAAGCCAAAGGCCTTGGCTCGCAGGGCTACAGCCTGGCCCACTCGACCTAGAAACACAGGAATACCCGCGGGCGTGGAATTACATTAACATCAATACTCATGCAGGGGCATTAGAAAAACTGCAAACATATAAAACCTATATATCTAGACTATATCCACGTGCATCTAATATTCCGCTTTTTGTCTTTTGCTAACACAAATTACATACTGCGATTCTCTGACTGCTACCCACGTTTGCTCATTATTACTGGAAAAACCCTTTAGAAGGTACATGGAAGAGATTTGCATTGCTTCTGGTTAATCCGCTTATATTTTATTGGCAGTAACCCCTATGCGAAGCCAATTTAGCTGAGCTAAGGACAAAACTAGAAACGACAGAACAAATGTTCGATCACTGGAAATGTAAAAACAAACAGACAGCACATTCTGACCAGCTGACCAAACATTGGACCTGCGTGTTAGTATGATCACTGTGAGCACCTCAGCATGCTGACCTCGGTGTGTATGCTGAGCTCTGCTTCACATACGTTCGTCTTTGTTGTTACTCACCGAGCCCGATGAGTCCCAGGGTCTCTCCTCTGATCCTCGCTGCTCCCGATGCCACCTCACGGATCTGTTCCACACTCTGAACACGGGTCCCCTCCCGCAGAGCCTGGCACGAATACCAATTAGTTATTACACGCATATACAAGGCAGAGCACACAAACGTTACAGTTGAACATGATCCAGCCATACATCATAATATCTGGACTCAATGACCAAAGTCTAAGTCGTTTCAGGTGATAAGTCTAAATAATGATTTGAGGAACAAATCATTTTACTGTACCTTCTACATCTTACATCAACGTCTTTCAAATACAGCCACATTCTAAAGAAAATGAATGAACGTTTCAATTTTTCTGATTAGTAACTGTCGAAACTAAAATTGTGATAACCGAATGCACACCACTAACCAAGACATTTAAAATAAGTCGCTTAAATCCATTTAATTTGAGACTCTTTTATCAGCCACACGGAGCTACAAACCTGATGCAGCCAGGTGGTGCGTCGGTACAAGGTGAGGATGTGACACAGCGTGGAGTCTGCCGTTTCCTCCACGGAGGCGGCTGGCATATTACAAACAGCTATGCCTGTTGGACCAGAAAGCAGATAAGGATTGGTAATAGCTTTTAAAAACCATTTTGAGAGAGAAATGAAGTTTGGTGAAAGCTATTTTTGTGGGGAAGTACGAGCTGAAGGTGTCAGCAGTTTTTTTTTTTCCTGTGCAAAATACAAAACTACTCGACACTTTAAAATGGAAGAGGCTCTCGGTAGAAGAAGATAAGGGAAGCTGTTGCAGGAGCAAACTGGGTTTTAAAAAAGTTCTCCTTTTTTCTATTACAGATTTTTTGCAAACATGGCAACAGGAACTGGTAGCTAGGAAGTTTAAAATTTGACTTAATGTTTAGGTCATGCATTTACACAGCTTACAGTCGACTTTTTCGTGTTTCATATATTAAATTACTTTAAAAAATGTATTTAAAGGGCCTCTATTATTCTAATTTCGAAAATGTCTTTACAGATCTGGCTCACTTCTCACACTCTTTAAGCCAGGATTCTTGTGATTGGCTGTTCCGCAAAAACAAAAGGTTTAAACACAAGGTGGGTGTTACTTCTGTGTTTATAGCAAGATCTGTTCCCAAAGCATGCAAAAAAACTTCTTTAAATGCTTTGTCTTTTTTATTTTAAATTTTGGACACATCAAAAGTTAACATCCATAGTTGCAAGAGTAAATTTACAATAGAAAGTAAGGAACAGCGTAAGTGTGATGAAATTTGTGCTTAATTTTGGAAAAAGCATCTCTTTACTAAATGAGGCCACTCCCCCCCTCACATAGGAAGGACAGTGGGTCATACCAAAGACTGGATCGTTTTTTATTGAATAATAAATTCATACGCCAATGCTCATCTTAAATATTTTAAAACATAAAATATAATAAGAAGCTGAACAAGTAAAACAGGTTTGGCAACAACAAAGTCGAACTTTGCTGTTGCAACAATACAGTAGACCAAATTGTCAGAGACGCTTCTTTCTTGTTAGATTACTAACAGGAAAATTCAAATCTGTGCCAGTTCTGCCTGTGTCTTTAAGACAGAGCACTGAAACAGCTGGGAAGAACTATTTTGCTATTATGCAAATATGTGCACGTGTGTGTGCATGTTCCTACCAAGTTCTCCAGCAGATTTAATATCAATGTTGTCATAACCGCTGCCGATTCGGACGATGATACGCAGCGCTTTAAACTTCTCCAGGTCTTCTCTCATTAGAGTGATGGTGTGGTACATCAGCGCTCCTACAGCTTCATTTAGGACCTGGAAACACACACAACACAACATATAGAGCAAGTTAACATACAAGATATTATTATTATTATTAACTTTTTTTCCTAAGAATTACATTTCATTGATATTTTGCCTTTTGAAGTAAGATTAAGATAAATTAAGATAAGGTGTCTGCATCTATCTGAACTGTCTAATATTAGAATTAATACGATTCAGACTGAATTCTCAGTGACTTTTAATCATTTCTAGCTTATTGTCTGACAATAACCGTAATGGCTCAGAAGCAGATAATAAGATTATCATATAGAATTGAATACATTACAGAGCCGACACCTTTTAATTGGTGTGATCTTTCTGTAATGTTGCCAGCCCCCTGGTTCATATGTGCGAGGGGATGAAAATGACATGCGGTTCAATTACAGTAAAGAAGCCCTTTTAATTACACAATGAGGTGGCTGCTTATTAGAGAACCAGAGACAGAGAGCAAGAGAAGGATTGCGAGGGAGGGAGTGCCATCTGTTTCTCCCACACTGTGGCCTACTGAGCGCGCTCACAGAGAGGGTGCGCCTGGCAGACACCCAGTACAAGACAGAACCCTGCCAGACATACAAACCCATTTACAATCGTAGTGACTGTTGCAGAATCTGACCCACATTCAAGTTCGTACTTGATTTTTGTGCATCCCTTTTGTTTTAACATCATCTATTTAACTTTAGACTCTTCTCTTAGGTTAAACGTTTCTCATTGAGGCTAGAGTCTCTGCTCTGTGGTGGCCAGTGTGAAAATAATGTCTCATGCTTCCTGAATCACTCTTCTCAGTCTGAGTCTGGCGAATCCTGCCTTTGTCATCCCGATGGAAAAACCTCGTCATTCGGTATATTCAGTTGATTTTTTTTTGAGCACATAGCATTTCTGAATGTAGACCTGACCAACTGAAGGAAGCCCAGACATAACACTGCCCCAACAGACTTGGATGGTAAGCACTGGGCATGATGGGTAAATCACTTCATCCACATCTCTTCATTCCCATCACCCTGAAACAGGGTAAATCTGGGCTTCTCAAGTCTCGTGAACTTTTTCCATCGCTACAATCTTTATCCTTCGGGACAAAAAGAAGCCTTTTTTTCCGATTACCCTCACTTTTCAAAGACTGTGTAGCTGTTTAGTCGTAATCCCTTGAGTTCTTCTGACATTGTGTGTGCATTGTTACCTGTTTCTTAGCTAAATCCAGATGGTGACTTTTTTGGGCTAGGCAGTATTATATTTTAAAGCTTTAAATTAAATCTTCTTTTTGGTGCCCTTCCTTTACCGATTCATATCTGTTTAAGCATTCTAAGCCTATTAGATATGGCAGCATCATTAAGTCAGGAAAGCATGAAAAGAGAGTTTTAAATCACTGGTTTCTGAATTGGTTGACGTTGCTTTCATTATTCCTTTAGCCCATGGTGACAAGTTTCATGTCAGCTACTTGGTTATCTTTCTGTTTAATCCATATATGCAAAATTTGTAAAAGCAAACGCTTTACTTTGCCTGTTTTTTTTTCTGTTTAGCTGAAACACAAAAACATCCAGATAGAATTATAGAATTATTATTGCACTTTATGTGTACATGTTACTTCAAGCATGTTACCTTCTCGTGGATCTCCTGTGTGGACTGAGCGTCACAGAACGCTACGGTTGCTACGTCTTTTAGGATGGGCATCTCCACAGTGCAGTCTCGCCCGTCCAGCAGCGCCACCAGGGGGCGCGGATGCATGGGCCCGTTCATAATGGGGGGCCTGATGCCTAAAAACGCAAGAAATGAGGGACAAAGAGTCAGATCGGCAGAACAAAAGAAGAAAAGAAGACAGGGAAGACATGGGTGGAAAAGTAGGCTGTGGTGCTGAAACACCACCAGTGTAAATCTCCTACAAAAGGAATGTGGATACTTGTTCTGTACTTCATTCAAACTTCCAGCGTTTACTTTTGTGTAGGAAATTTTAAAGTGAAAATAAGGATGAGGTCCCAGGCACACACGAGGCCGCTGCTGTATCTGCATCCCATAATGTTTCTGTTCTGAGGTGGTGGTTGCCATGCCAACAGTGACAATAGGCGTGGAGGGGAAAAAGCTGTTTCTCGGAGCAGCTGTCTGCCTGTTGCGGAGCTAATTCCTCTTGTGTGAGGTCATGTTTCACAGCTGTTTTTCTCCTCATAACTTTGAAATATTTCACTGTTTTTGCTTAATTACTGCTGACTTATGATTAAATTTGCTGACTTTATGAAACAGGCGGTAATTTAGAAGATGGATGAGGTGGGTGTCGTAGCTATTCTAGTAGAAAATAGCGTTGATAAGGCAAATCTTGCTATATGAATTTAGTGTTATTAATAATGAGGAAAAACAACAGCCTGTGATAATGAAGAATACTTTTTATTCCAGCCTGTTCACAAGTCTTTATATACTGAATGTAAATGCTCATCCCCATGGACTCAGAGTGCATCTTGGGAGCTGCTTACTTGGAAAAAATGGGGCGGTGTTGATACGAAAATAACTAGGCATGCAGCCTGAAGCACTAGATTATATCTCAGTTGTTTATTGTGCAGCATATTTTGGATGAAACCAAGTGTCTCTTTATAAATATACAAGAAAAATGCAAATAGAAAAACATCGAAACATCGCTGAAAGGGGTAAACGTGCAGGTGTGTAAGGAAGTGCAACAGTTCGCAAGGGATAGAGCGGTTTGCCACGCGAGTCTCTGAAATCCGACTGAAATCTGTCAATAACCGAATTACAGCGAACTCCTCCTGCACCCCTGCCACAGGGTGTTTTATTAAATCATATCTAAAGATTAAACCATTACCCTGAGAGTGCTGCTGGGCTGTACAGGAGGAAAAATGGTATTTAACAATGAAGATATGCCAAATGACCCCACTAGTGGGCCTTTGTTGAAGTTATAACAAGAACAGGGGTTGATAGGAGGTGGATTTATTAGTTTTCCTTGAATATTCCTTCCTGCTGCATTTTCCTGCATCGTTTCCCTCCCTTTCTCTTTCCGCATAACCGATGGAATAATTATTCCAGATGACCGAGGGCCTTACAGCCTGAGACAGAAGACATCTGAGGGACATAGAGATGCAGATTCTGAAGAAAGTCCTGGCTGTGTGTGTGTGTAATTGGGATTTTTTGACATGTAAAGTTTTGACAGCCCTCTGAAACACTGCAGATGAAATAAGTGCAGAGTTATGCCTGTTTTTGCTGATGCTGACAAACCCATCATTCATCGCTGACTTTTCCCCCCATCTGAGATGTGCAGTCTGACATCTCGAATAAGCAGCCTCCTCTGTCAGTTCACTCAAAATATTCCACTCAAAACTCAAAGGATACACAATTGACCTTCCCCGAGTTTTAGCGTGTTTTCCATTTGCATTACCAACATCGTGCAAAAGAAGCCAAGTTATTAAACCAGTCATTTAAATTAAACGAAATCAAGATTCTAGGGTCTACGCAATACTTTGCATGCCAAGAATCCCTGAGAACCGTACTTGTGGACAGAAGTTTGGCAGCTCCTAACTTATGAATTAGTTTGAGAAATCTGAAAAAATAACACTCTTCTCCTGGCAGCTACAGCTTCACCGAGAGCCCAGTTGAAGCTCATTGTCATTTTGGGTTTTGCTGCTGTTTACCTGTTTTCTTGTACTTAAAGGCTGCGTTTCTCTACTTCAAACAGTGAGTTCATGCTTTTCAGATTGTTGAAGACAGAAACATGGGGCGGGGGGGAAGAAGCAGAATGAATGCAACTTTCAGAATGACTGAAACATAAAGGGACTTTCCAATTTATTAAACCTTTTGAGTAATGCAACATGTTTTTTGAGGTTGCATCCTGTTGTTGGAGAAGTCGGTGTCCCAGCCTTTCCTGCAGTGGATTGATTTCTTCCTGTGTGACTGTTTTATGTTGCTGCAAAACAGTTCAGAGAGACACCTCTGCTCTTTGGTTTGGAGTGATGTCTGAGCCTGACCTTTAGCACTGATGCTTTGATTATTTAATCTTTGTTGCCTTTCTGTTAACACTGGAAATTTGCATTTAACATTAATTACATTTGGCCAGGAACTGGTTGCTGCTTTGATCTTTTTTTTCCATTTGCTTCACTACAAGATGAGGACTGTGTTGTATTTGTAACCACTAGGAGTAAATAAGTGTAACTGTATAATTAAGAGAAAAGGGGCAGACTGGGGGAAAACATCCAATCAACTTCTATTTATAAAAGTATGTATGATGATGGATGATGATTTTTTTCTCATGTGAAAGGCCCATCGTGGGAAGTAAATAGGTCATTAAGGTTGAAACTCTGTGACTTTCTCCCCCACATACTTGCAGCAGTTTTCACTGGTGTGCATGCATGAGGAAGTAATGTATGCAGCGTTACATTGCATTTCAGCTCGTACGTCTCATTAGGCTGCAGCCATTAGAGTTCTGCTGTGACACAAAATAAGCTTTCACAGTCTATATTAAGAAAACCGATACAAGGGGTCTGCGTTCAGTTTGTGTCTCGTTTGATCCGTCTACCGTTAACTTTCCCTTTGTTTAAAGCAGCATAGTCGCGTGGTTATTTTTAAACTAGCACGCTATAAGCGCATGACAAAATACATAGAGACGCTTCGCTGTCGGGAATTTAACACCAACAGTTGTGTTCAAACACGTTTCAGTTTTGGTTTCATGTGGTATGAAGCTGTCGTGCAGCCACAACAGAAGCTCAGCTACTTGTACGTGAGCTAAAACTTGGTTTCCACCTCAGTTTTGCCCACAGCACGTTCTCCTGGTTTAATATGGGCATTTCCTTCATACTTCCACTGATAAAGAAGAAAAGCACGGAGACAAAGAATAGCTCCCAACATCGCGCGACCCGTCACTCGACTTCTGCATTGTCTCTTAAATCTGCATTGTCAGATTACAGCATGAAACTTGATCTGATGAAGCAGTCCAGTGAGGTGAAACTCAAATCTTGCACATGGTGCCTTATGTGGCCTGCTAAAACATCAGCTATCCCTAATAGGATTTGCCTGGAGGCCATTGCACTTACACATCAATATAAAATCTATGGTGCACAGCTTAGAAAATGGAATACAGCGGCAGCGAGAAGAATTACGGCACCGCGCTGCTCAGTTTTTGGCACTGACATGGAAAAAGTAGTAGTAACTGAGCAGACAGGATTTTCATGAAATCTTGTCATTCTGGTATTATTTTTATTGGGGGGGGTTACAGAGATTCCAGACATTTCTCCAGCACACACTTGGTCAGACTGAGGGAGGAAATAGCTCTCATTCCAGCCCCATGAATGACCTTGGGAGTACCAGCACTTCAGCCTGCTGAGTAGTACTAGGCAATAAAACACTGCTTTATTCACTGTCTCTGTCTCTTCCCCCACACTCACAAACCACAGCAGTGCCCTGTAAATATTAATCCTCCAACTCAAATGGTCATTATTTCTTGGTCTTTTTTTATTACTGGTATTTTTCTCGCTCTCCCGTCACTTTAAACACTCATTAAATCCTTCATTATATTAAATAATTGGCCAGACTTCCAGTTCCCTAACTGTAAACGCTTATCCCTCTCCTTTCCCTCTCTCATTATATTAAATACTCCAGTAATCTCTCACTCTGTCTTTCTTTACCTCTCCCGTAGCCCCGGGGCTTGGTGACTGCTGGGGGCATTCACGGTGCAAACAGGCCTCTTGACAGCCAGAGCTTCAGCTCTGCTCGTGCTTTTCCATCCAGCATTTCTGAACAAGTACTCTTTAACTCAGATGCACAAGCATGAACAGTAGACATTTTGAGTAAACGCAGCAAAGCAGTGGTAGTGATTTGCAACTTGGGAAAAGCGAAAACAAAGAAAGTTTTGTTCATTGTTCACTATAATACAATAACCATCTGTACAGTAACAGTTGAGCCTGGGGAGGGGGGGGCAAGATCAAATGACATCATAGATATGAAAATAGGCTCCATCCCAAAGTAGCAAAATGATGGTAATGCCATTTGATTGACATTTAGAAATTGAAAAAGCATCTGCCAGTGACTGCTGGGACTGCAGCACGAGAGCCAATGGGAAAGCCCTGCGGCCTGCCTGCATCCAGCTGTCATTGACCAGCTCTTAGGAACAGCTGGATTTTTGTCCCCGAGGAGGGAGACCGTGTTTTCACACTGTCAGTCAACAAAGACAATTAAAAGGATCAGCTAATTTCATGCGTTTTAAACGTACAGGTCAACGGGACGTCGGCCAGCCTCGATGCAGAATGATCTGCCAAAACAAGCTGCAGCGGACCTGATTTTTCCCACAAGAACATGCACTCTAGTAACAAGGGTAAACCGCTCCGAAGCATCTGTAGGCCTTCCTCTGTGTTGAACTATTAGTCAGCTGAAAAAAGGTCATACCTATTGTTACAGTTTATTTATTAAGCTATAAGCTAAGAATAGTTAGAAGAATAGTTCCCGTTTTCTTCATTTCAATATTTAAAAACAAATCTTCACATTCCTTTTCCTCGTCTGACTACATTCAGCTCCAGCAGATCAAGTGTTTTTATTTTTCACTGTGCGAGCGAGAAAAAGGAAAGGAAGAAAAGCGGGGACGACATCGCTGTCGGCACCTGTGATCGCTCAAGTCGCCTGCAGCCGTAGAAACCAATCATCGAGCCACAGCATGGCTGATTTATAATGCTACTGGCTCTTGTGGCGTGCAGCAACCACAAGAGCCCCCGTATCCTCCTTCTCACCCCTTCAGTGTTCGTCTCAACATCTCTTCATCTGATGTTGCCTCGTTTTTTGGTCTCCATCTCTCATTTCAGTCTCACTTCCCCAGGCTTTCTTCATCTCCCTTGCCGTTTTTCTTTTTTTCTCCCGCTCTGCACAACTCCCTAGCAATTCATAAAGGCGTGCTTTGTATAATAGTTGTATTTATATTGCTAAAAAGCGGGTGAATATCCAGGAACAAAGTGTTCAGGGGTGGCTTGATGTTTCTGTCTTTCGTCTTTCTCTCCCTACCCCCACTTCAACTCCCAGGAAGGAAAAATAAGAAGACAGACATATCCATCACCACTGGTCCTCCTTCTTTCATGGACTCACACACCTACACAGTAACACAGGTATTACACTCTTGCCTCGTCAGTCAGTGCTTTTGGACTAATATACAGATGACACACACAGGTGCTTACGCATAGAAACGATCACCATGCAGGGCTCTCATTTGCAGGTATGGTGTCAGCAAAGCAGTTCAGGTTTGTCAGGTCTTTGTTCTCATAATGAAAGACACCAGCAGCAAACCAGCAATAACATTTGACAGCAACTCAGCAATGGCAACCAGTTCAAAGTTTGATGAGGCAGGCTATAGTTCCAGTTGTGCTATGAATTCAGGAGAAGTATGAGGAAAAGGCAGAGGTTATGATTTAAAAGCATAGCCCTATACTTTAAATATTCCAGAGACTAGCTTAATAGATCAATAAATTGTAATTGTTAAAAATAATTTATTATTGTAAGCTATTTCTGCTGGAAAATATTTATTTTACAATTGTGAAGTCAATCATTTTCAATTTGACATGACTTAGGGTTCAATTTCCAGATTGCCACGAATGTCACAAGTACCCAATGTTTGTTTGCAGGAATTCATAAACTGTTTATAAGTACTGGCTTAAACAGTATTTGCACTAGAGGAAAAATACATTTATAAGGCTGTAACTGGATTATTGTATGGCTGCTGGCCTGTTACATTGGATTAATTGTTAATATACATTTTTTTTAAATCACAGTCACTTTGAAGTTTCAATTGGATTGGGTCAGTTTGGACACTCTGGTGTAAACGCCTCCCCGTAATGGATTATTAAGGCTATGAAGCATTTACTGCATTTAGATTACGGGTTTGTTGAAGTGCGGGGACCCGCAGGGGGGCGTTTGAGCGGTTTCAAGGGTATTCCCAGCAAAAGGAAAAAAGGGTTTCGTTTCACACATTGCACCGTTTATTTGAGCTGAGCTAAAATAACTGCTTAAAGTGCTGTTTGGTCGTTTTAAAGAGGCTGCTAAAGCCATTTTACAGGTATCATCTTAAAAGTTATTTAATCTGCAGGTTTTACCCCCAATCAGACTCACTTGACAGTGTTGACATATAAATTAATAACGAGTATGCACGGACTCATCATAATGCAAAGCTGCTAATTACCTACCATAGCTGAATTATAGCCTACCTGCTAACTGTTGTTTTGGGGTGGTAAATTGTAGGTCTGTTGGTTTTTTTGTTGTGTTTTGTTTTTTCTGTACTCGTCTTTTGATCTTGCCACTTTGTCTCAGTCACATTCCCCCCTTTGAACAGCCCTTCTCAATAAAAAACGAACTTGTCAAATGCAGCTAGCAAGTATTACATAAGGCTAACCTTGACTGAATAAAAGAGTGAGATGTATTAGTTCTGACTGGCACATCTTTCACTATTGATTCCCATTTTAGTTCAGTCATTTTTCTGTAAGCATTTGACATAATAGACCAAGCATCTTAATGGCTCTTAGTGCTACAGTCTCTTTGCTGAGCACTTTATAGATTTCTAAGTGCTGTAAATTACACCTGAGGAGATTCCTGCCTTTTATATGGCAGTAGTGCAGTATAAAAAAATCTGTATTTGTTTTCATAAGTGTGTGAAATGGTACTGGAGCCCTTATTTCACATTCCAACATAGATGTGTAGTGACTTGTAATCTAATAGCCGTTTCAGATTACTCTGGATTTCTCTAAACTAACAACATGCCACCACATGAGCGGTTTCCCTCGATTTCTGCCTTTGACATTAGGCGTCTCTCAGTGGGAAACTGCCTGGAACTATAACAGTCGTGTTTACAGTGTAAAGGCCTCATAGGATGCGTTTACCAACATTCGATTTTTTGTGTTTTACCAGCAGATCTGGTTTAACAGGGTTTCAGAGGGGTGTCACTCATCTATCCTTCATAATCAGCTTGGACACGATACAACACAGAGATCAAAGGCTCCCCTGCCTTCAGAAAGATGAATCAATCAATCACCTGAAACTGCAAGCTGATTTTACAGCACCCTTTAAAGGTTCAGTGCTTGTCACCGTGCACTGAAACAGACCCCACGACCCAATCAGTGTCACGATTATTGACTGGTGGAGATTTGTGCATGAGCGTCTTGAAAAGGACAAACCTTGCTGAGCCACAGTCATTTAGTCCTGTGACCTTGGATTCTCAAGCTGCCGGCGTGGATGTGGAGAAGATATCTGCCCAAAGCGAGGGGCAATAAAAAAGGGTGGGGGGGTAGTAAGATAATAGCTGCAACTTTAATCTTTGATGTCATCAGGAAAAAGAGCCTGCAGCCTCTTGATGACATCAAATAATGTCTGCTTTCTTTGAAGAAGAACTGGATTCACAAATGCAGATTTAGCTGATATAATAACTCGATAACACGGGAACGATCGTTTATCTTCACACCCTCATCCTCCTGCTCGACACCCGAGCCCCCTCTTCCTCCTCCCCTCCCACCCCTTTCTTATTCCTAGCAGCCCTACCTTGATCCCATTTTCTAGAACAGTCTTTTGCAGCCCCTATCATAAGGTGCATCTATTACCTGTGAATCCGGCTGGGGGCATGCATGTTTATACTTGAATATGTGTGTCACTTTAGTTCCCTTTTATGTCTGTGAGTGTGTAAGTGTGCTTGCACGTAAATTGTGCGCACACTTCAGTGAAGGCAACCACTTTCCATTAAAAGAAGCACAATGAAAGGCAAATATGTGTCATGTCCTTGCTAGCCCTCGAAGGAGAGGGAGATCTATTTCTGTCACCGCAAACAGAGGTGTTCAAGCAGCTTTCAATAGCAGAGATTTGCCTCTTCGTGCACATACACTCACTCACGCACAAACACACACACACACAGATCTTTAGAGAAAAGACGAACCATTCTTGTGTGATGAGAGCGGCTGAGCGATTAAGGAAAAACAAAAGATAACAGTGTGAGTGAATTAAGAAGAGGAGGAGGAGGAGGAGACGGAAAAAGGGAGAGGAAGAGAGAGAAGGGGGAGGGGAGAAGGAGGCAGAATAATCTACACTGAGTTCACAAATATTGGCACACACACACTCATACACACACACACAGTGATATGCAGTTCCCACATAAAAGCAGAGTGCTGGTTGTTTACCTAAAGGCATGCCTTTGTTGAGGAGATGTGAGCTTCCCATGGTGTGTTCCCCAGCCGGCCAGCACACAACAGAAACCTACAGTCTTCACACAGCAGACATGAACAGGAATCCAGTCAGCATATGGCGGCTGTGGCCAGCTACCTCGCTTCCCTTAGTCCTTCTCCCAGCCCCTTAGTGACAAGCATACACATGTGCTCCCCCTCTTTTCGCTCTCTCTCTCTCCCCTCCCTTCCGTCCCCTTCGCTCGCCTGCTCTCTCTATCTCTTACCCCTCCCTCCCCGCTGTCTTTAGGTACCTCCCTGCCCTTCCTTTCTCACTTTCTAATACAGAAAATCTCTCTGTCTTTCCAGCTCTCTGTCACCAAAAAAAGAAGCACACACAGTTTGCAAGAGCTGCTGCGTTTATGAGAGCGGGAGAGTGCAAAAGAGATGGCGGGGGGG